AAAAATAACTTGAAGGTAATCAAAATGTTCATATTTTATTAGATTTTGAAATGTATATATTATGTCAATTTTGTTTTATAAGAATGAAATATCAAATCATCTTGGATTAATATAAAATTTTATATATATGATATAAGAATAAAGAACTTTCAATTTAACGGTTGAATTTATAAAATTCATAGTTAATATAAAGTTATTGAGTGGTGTAATACTTAGTAAAAGTTATACCGATCTCGTTTGAACCTCGTTTATTTCAATTGACAGTTTTACCAAATATTTATAATTTAATAAGATAACTTGTTAACTTTTAACTAACAACCTTCGATTAACTTTTAAGCTTTTCAGTTATTTTTATCAAACATAAGCTATTTTTTTTTTCACAAATATTACTCTATTACTTTTGAAAATTTTAAATGTTGTAGCACTGCTTTATTTTGCAGAGTGATTTTTCTTTTAAAAAAATACATTAAATTTAATTAAATGAACATTTTTTTTGTGTTTAAATAGAATTTTAAACTTCGGGTTCGCCAGGTATATTTGAGCTAACCCCCTAGAAGCTACAAAATTTTAAATTAAGTTTCGTTGAAATAATTTATTGTGAATTAAAAACTTATTAGTATAGGATAGTTATACACATTAAATAGGCTAGCCCACGAGTTCACTTTTTTTTCCTTTTGAGACTTTACTTTTAAAATAATTGCTTGATTCAAATATATTGTAGTCCAAATGATTTATATCAATAATAAACATAATATATCATCTTAGTTTTTACTTTTTCTTTATTGTGTTAAATAAAAAGAATTTTTATCCATAGTAATTTTATATAATTCTAACAATATTGTCTCTAATAAAAAATACATGTGATTTATACTAAAAACAAAAATAACTAAAAATATATGTGTTTATTTTTCTTTTATACTTTTTAATGAATCCTTATTATTTTTTATTTTTATATTGAATAAGTATTGACCAATCGAAAACTGAAAGTCTCTGAAATACTTAAAATAATGTATAATTAATATAAAGAAATATTGTTTGGACCTTTCAACAACTAAATATGAAAGTATTTTTTACTATACTACACTCCTCGAAACATTTGACAACTGGTTACTTGTAAAAAGATTAAAACGAAGAAGGCATAGACTATGTAATATTGTATACATAACTCACATGACATGAGTCATTTAATTTTTTTGATTATATTAGGTTAAACTAAGATATTAACCAAGTTTTTTTTTAAAAAGTCTAACTCATTACACATCGAATTCTTTGAATTAATCCCACTTAACTTGATGCGACTCATTTTCAACGTATACAGCGTGAGTGGAGAAAAATTGAAAGTGGGCACATTGCATTGAATTGATGGAGGAAAGCAAATAGTCCAATGTTTCATTTTCATCATATTATGACTGCAACCGCCCAAGGATAAGGTGGCCACCCCACCCAGCTCCAACAATTCACTACAATATTTGACTTTTTCCTATACACACACACACTCTCTCTCTCTCTCCATATATATATATATACTCAGTTTTATTTATGGTTTTAAATTGTTGTAAATAAATTAAGAAAAACAAGTTTTTTTTTTTGTTTTTACTAACTTCTTAAATAATATATTTTTATATCTCTTATTTTATTAGTTTGACAATTCATATACTATTTATTATTTTTTTATTTTGTTTCGTAAAAGGTATAATTGAGAAAATAATATATAATGCTTTGTTAAAATTTTAAAATGATAAAAAAAATAGATAAAAAAACAAAGGAATTACTTATTAGACAAATTTTTTTTAAGAATATGTTTTGACTTTAACTCAACTAATTTTCTTAAGGTTACTACATTTGAAGTATTGTTTGTTTTGTTAATCAATGGATTATTACATTTTGCATCTGAAATATTAATTATTTTAACACTTAGGGGATTGTCACACTATTTTTCATATTATATATGTCAATAAATCAAAGAAATAACATGTTTATAAATTATTATTGACTTTGATTTGCGATTAATGAAATTTTTGAACATATAAGACATAATATTTATTAAACATACTAGGTTTAAAGCGTGTTTTATTTTTGTTTATTTCTAATAATTATAAAAAAAATTAAAAGATATAATTTTTTTAAGTAACCAAACCAATAATATAGTCACTTTGTCAATTAAAAATAAATCATTATATTTTATTTTAATTCTTTACATAAATCAATTGTTTTTTAATCACATTAGTTGAGATAACTTTTCTTCTTCTTAAATTACAAGAGTCATTTCTTCTTTATTTTAATTATTATTTTTTATAGATTATATTTATCTTCCAAAAAAAATTATGCTTAAGCTAAATTAGATCGTTGTAGGAGATAAAATTTAATTTTTTTAGTATATAGTATAAATGTATGTGCAAAACTTCAACTCAAAATTATTGACTAAATTGTAATAACTCCATGTCAGTTAATTCATGTTCTCCCTAGTAGTCAACTCTTCTAAATTCCAGCACTTAGTATATAGAATACACCTTTCAAAATTAAACGATTTGGAAAGAAAATTGATGTTTCTAATTCCTATCGTGATTTGATTCTTTTAAAAATTTCCCATAAAAGAACTCAATTTTAATTCTTAACTCTCTTTTGATGGTCCCTTTTGTTACCATATAATAGCAGAGTCCAACTTTAGATTTTAAAATATTGTTAGAGTTTCATTTAATCTTTTCGCTCACACAAGAATCTTTGTTTTGACTTAGAAAATTATTTTTAGTTTTAAGTAACCTTGGTGATAGTCGTTGCGTACAAAAGCAATTTCGATAAAAACTTATTTGCTCCAATAATATTTTCAAATTGTTTGACTTTAAAAAACAACATAATTAACAACCCTTTAAAAAATGCTCTTAAAGTGATGCAATTAACATATAAGTATATAAGGAAAGTGATTAATTTAAAATGTATGAGCATTTAATATTTGGGGGGAAAATCTTAACATAAGAAAAATTTAGGAAGGAAATGAAGAGAAAAAAAAAAAGAAGACAGAATTGAATCAATCAACTTCCTTCAACCGTCTATAACAAATTGGACTTTTCCGAGTACGTCCTTTGAGACTCTTAACCATTGCTTTGATCTTTCTTGCATCGTTTCCAAGGCTTTGCTAGATCAATCTAATTAAAACAAAAAAAAAATCCAAAGAACTATGACCCCATGAATTAAATATTAATGACTTAGTATCGGTACCAATTTCGTTGATATCAAACTTGCATGAGATTTATAATATTTATGTATTTTAGTCAACCATCTAAGTCAGTCTTTATTATTATTCACAATCTCACATATATGATAATAAGATTTGTATTTAAAATCTTACGTATATTATTCTACTCAGGTTAATTTTAATCTTCAATCCAACCCATCATCTCTATAATGGTCCAGTAGATTTTTGATATGATTAAAGTTGAGTTGAAAAGGAAAAATCAATTGGGATCATAAGTGGCCCTATTACACCTATTATTGAGGATTAAGTGCAATATTATTTTAGGATTAAAATGAGATGAAATGTCATTTCTTTAAATTTGAAAAGAAATGAATGATAATTCGTAGTTGTTCTAAATATTATATTTTTATTAAATACTTTTATTTTAATCTGCTCATGAATACGTTTTAAGATACCCATTAGCAAAATCATTAAATTATTGTCATTTGAAATTTAACTCAATTTGGGGTTTGATAGGGTACTTGGTTAAATAATTAGTTATAGAAATTTATCATTAAACTCTTTTATAAAAATATTAGAAGTCATAGTTTTTTTTATTAAAAAAAACTAAGTATGTCCTAACTCAAAGTTAATGTTAATCTTTAATACTAAGACTCATTTAAAGAGTTGATTTTTCTTAACAAAAATATTTGTTCATATACAATGAACAAATATCAAACCCCTAAAATCACATTTATGTTAATTATGTTTTTTTATATATAAATTAATAGTTAGTAGCATTTGCCTTTAATTTCTATGAAATGCATTTCTCTCACTTTAGAGGAAAGCAAAAAACACTCAAACTGACAGCAAAACAAGAAGAGCACATTACCAACAAAAACTACAACAAAATTGCTTCTCAGTCTGCTACTTGCATAAAACCAAAGCTAGAAAACACCCTTTGGCCTGGAGATATAAAACCAATTTCTTTGAAATCCATAAACAATGATACACCCACATTTCAACCCAATCAATGAAAGTAGCACTAAAAGGAACAAGAAAAATGAGACACAGTTAGAGAGAAGACTGCAGTTATGGATTCAGAAAACATTAATAAAAGAAAATGTGTGAATTCCGTTAAAATTAAAGATCTTCGGCAGAATCCATAAATCAACAATGTATATCAACCATTAAAAGTATAACAAGCAACAAATCAATTCATGACTGTAAATAGGTTATATTTTGAATAGCTTATGATATCATTTCCATATGATCTCATGAGAATGATTAAAATTGTACACTAACACTAAAGGGTCAGCAGCTAATTGTTCCTCTAACCTCATCAAATCTGTTCACACTAGAACTCAAGAAATCTAAGCAGGCTCTCATACAGCATGATCTCATGTGATGTCCTCTAACGGTTCCCACCCATTTTAGAGGGGTATGTGACATGTATGATATCTTTCTCATGGGTGAAGGAGGAGTGGTACCTGTTAAGACAATGGACTAGGAGTCTAACTCATTTTTATGCACTATTATGGTCTTATCAATAGTGAATGTGAGATCTCTGACTTTTGCACCTTAGTTTCGTGTAAGAAAGGTTTAGAATCTGAGCCCAAAACCCATAGCCCTTTATGGCCCTATGATAGTTGTGTAAACAGGTTGCAGTGATCTACGGGCATAATTTAGCCTAAGTATTGTATTTGTTAAAAATTTACTCAACTACAGCCTTAGAATTGGCCCCACTGAAGGGCCTAATTCGTCAGCTATGCATGAACCTCATCCCAGTAGAACAGTCCAATATCAACAAAATGTAACATCTAGAAAACGAGGAAATAAAGGGTAAATGGCTAACCAACACAACTACACAATTGTTTGTAGTTGTACACTGTAATATGCAGCGATGGGGGAAAGGGGTGAGAAGACAATAAGATGTTAAGACTGCAATTTACTGTCAAAGCATCAAGTACTTTAAAGATATATCAGTGCCAAAAAAGTTTTTAACAATAAAAAACCTACTTCTTAACGGGTTTCTTCTTTTGAGTTACATTGGCAGATGGTTGAGGCTTGGGATGCTTTTCCACCTCACTTGGATCCAACCACGTGAGAGGATGGCGATTGAAAAACGGCCAATTGGGAACAGTGAGCAAAGTGGTGAGAACCACACCAGCAGCATATATGAGAATCATCATTTGGAAAGAAGCCATAACATACCCACTTGCAAATGCAATCACAGCAAATGAAAGCAGCATTATCTGCATCAGTTGCTCCGCTAACTTCTGCCCTTGCCAATCCATCTAATTAATAGGGGGGAAAAACAGCATCAGCAACCCTACATGCTAATCGAGATCATAAAATAGAATACTAAAGTGAATGATTGAAAAATTACGGCGAAATTTGAAGTATTCTAAGGAATTGTCTCAAATTTATGGATCAGATCTGGGGCGTGTGATGTTTGATAAAAGGCGTGATCTAGGTCTATACTTTAAGAAACAAAGATCGTATAAGCATGGCAATGTTTAGTGAAATAAAAACCCTAAAAGAGTGTCGTTTAGTGAATGGTAAGAGTAAAAGGGGAAATGAGAGAAATGATACCTTTGGAGAAGAGAGAAGACGAAGGTGGTGATTTCGATTGAGCGCCCCAACGCACACAGTGAACCGCCGAGTTTTAATGTCACAATTTTAACGTCCACTTTATACTTCCACAAAATTTCCACCCCTTTCTTCCAAATTCTTAATAATAAATTTAAGGTTAATTAAACTACTAACTAGAATTACAAATTCTAAAAAATTTAAATAGATTTGTATACTTTATAATTTGTCTTATATCTTGCTCAGACTAAAATGTTGTTTTTAAATTGAATTTCCGAATTTATAAAATTATCAATATTATTTTTAATTAAATCCATAAGTAAATTTTTCTTAAAGTCCACACAAACATAAATATTTAATTAAAATTCAAATAATTCAAGGAATATTTTATTGGTTTAATCATTTAATAAGTTTTTAAATTATTCAAAAAAAAATTAGATAACTAGAAAAAATTGTGACAAAATTTTAACGAAATCTTCAGTAAAATATAATTGCAAAATGTAAGATTAATTTCAGTTTTGTGTTATTACTTTTATGTAACACTGTTAAGAAAAGAGACACTAGTGATTGTGTTGTACCTTTATTAAAAAGTAAAACAAAAATTAAAATAAATGGATAGTTATTTTTTTTTTTACATTGTTGTTTCTTATAGTTGATTAAGGTTCTTATTTCTTATAATTAATAAAGGACACGTCTTTAAAAAGTAGAAATTAAAATTGGAGATATCTCTTTTATATAGTTATAGATATTTATTTTTATTTTTATGACTAAACACTTTTTAAAAATTATTTTCATTATTATTTTACATAATGCAAATTTATATAGAAAAAATTAATTAAATGAAAATTCAAATACTATTTATTTATTAGAAAAAAAATAGTTACATGAAAAAATAATTAAATGAAAATTCAAATACTATTTATTTATTACTAACATCATCAACTTACTCTATTTAATACATAAATTAACTAGTGCAAACTTATGAATAATACTATCATTTTTTTATTTGTATGTATGTAATGTTAAGTTCAAATCATACTATATTTATAATTATGACTAATAAAAAAATTAGTATATATTATTTTAATTTAATTAATAATATGCATTATCTTAAATGAAAAATATGTATAACTTATATATATAAGAGAGTTCAAACGATACCGATGTAACTTTTACTAAGTATTATATTGCTTAATAAATTATATATTAAATGTGAATTTTATAAATTTAACCGTCAGATTGAAAGTTCTTTACTCTTAGATCATATATACAAAATTTTATATTAATCAAAGATAATTTGGTATTTCATTCTTATAAAACAAAATTGACATAATATATTTATTTCAAAATATAATACAATATGAACACTTTGATTACCTTGAAATTATTGTCAATTTTAACAAAATTTAATATATACATATAAAGTGATATGAACTTTCAATCTAACGGTTGTATTTGTGTAATACTTAGTAAAAGTTATACCGGTGTTATTATAACACTCCTTATATATATATATATATATATATATATATATATATATATATATATATATAAACCAAAAATAATAATGTCAATTGAATAAATTAAAAAACTTAAAAAAAAATGAATAAACTTTTCTGGTAAATCAAAATTAATTCAACATTTTCACGCTTTCACGTTTTGGGCTTAAAAGATAGAACATCACAATACTTAATACTAATATGTATTTAATTTGAAAATGTTATTTGTGATAAAAAAAAATTGTCAAAATGCACAACTACCTATATCTTTTGATTATTATTTTTTTTTGAACTAGCAGTTTTCTTAAATAAGATTTGTATCTCTTAACTAAATTACTAAATTTGAATCCTAATTTTAAACATAGAATAAATTATATCAGAAAAAATATTTATTTGTCATTATTAACTACTCACAAGATTTAGTCACTATTTTTTTACAAGTGAATGTTTCGTATCAATACTATCATTGAAAATAATAATAATAATAATAATTTTTTATACGAGTTTCAAAAATAGTTTGGTCTTTTAAAATATTAAGCATTTGTACATGTTAATTAATGCACCATTGTAATTTGCAAAAGAAAATTCCTATATATTCACTGCACTGTATATATATGTACTGCTTTATATAAAAATTGCTCTATATTTATTACTTAATGAATCTTTTATCTTATAATTGCTGATAGTTTAAAAAATTAATACAAATGTCGCAAAGAAAAAAAAAACGCTACCCTCGAATAAGCTTAAAAAATTCAAACAATTCGACAAGAATAATAAATCTACCTTACCGATACTCATTTTAACATGAAAATGAAACTATTTTTAAAGGCAAATCTTATGAACATAAGTTGTTAGTGTTTATCGTAAATATTAAATATTTAATGAAGTTACAACAAACTCTAAAAATTTTAAATTCCATTGAGAATATATTTATTAATATAGTAATTTTGAAGAAATATAATATTCGTAAGCGTTATGCTAACAAAAATTAAAAAAAAACTCGGTACCACTTAACCATCGATTATTGTACTAATCTTTAGAATCCTAATGTTAATTGTTAAATATTGAATCCGAGAGAAAAAAAACGGCAATAAGAAGTCCAAAAAGACTAAATAAAATATTCCAATTAACTCAAATTAATTCGAAACACAGTATGAAACTTGTTCCAAACAATAACAGGAAAATAAAATAAACAAAAATCTCTTGAGATTATCTAGGAATATTGTGCCTCAAACAATTAAGTAGAAACTTAAGACGAAGCACCACTTCGGAGAGCTTGGGACTTCTTGCTTGTTGTCAACTTAGTCTCGGGCTACATACCAACAAAGGAATAAGATTTAGATATAAAACAACAAACTTATTATATTATTAGAATCATCGAAGAAGAAATGAAATGAAAACAACAAACACAAGAATCAAATACCTCCTTCTTGACAGGTTCTTCCTTTTCAGATAATATCAACTCTATGTGGCATGGAGATGACATATAAGCTGCCAAAACAAACTCCATAAATAATAGTGTTTAAAAGATAACCCCCGTAAAGCATAAACATCTACATTTGAAACATACGATTGATTCTTCCATGGGCTCGGTATGTTCGGCGTCTTTGCTTCTGTGCTTGATTGACTTGAATGTGAGAAATGTACAGCGCATCAACATCCAAACCTTTCACCTGATAGGAAGCAATTTCAGTTAAAAGTGTTCGAAAATAGAAGGAATAATATAATATATATATATAGGCACAGGCATACTTCAGCATTGCTCTCAGCATTCTTAAGCAAATCGAGGATGAATTTCGCTGATTTAACTGGCCACCGTCCTTGGCCATTAGAGTGTCTATTCTTAGCTTGGGCTGTCCTTCCAACGCCACGGCAGAAACGTCTGAATGGAATGGCCTGTTTATGTGCAAGAACATCTTCCAAGTATCTTTTAGCCTTAACCAAGGGCAGCTTCCTGATTGCAAAGGCAGTTTCCCTAGTGTTCTGTAGGTACAATTTAAAAGGTAAATTCTCATGTCTAGAAAAATAATATAACCCAGAATAAAATAAAATTAACAGTATTTTTCTATCATCAATAAAACTTCAATAACTTGGGAGAAACAGATATATTAACCCAATAATAACACTACCCATGCAGCTGACAGATACAAGGGAGTTGTGCCCTAACATATCAGACAAATGCTTCTATTGGGTAAAAAATCAATTTTGTAATGTTTTAAAAACAAAACAGAAAAAAAAAAAAATACATATATATATATATATATGCACCGAAATGGCAATGCACTTTTTATTTGTTAATGGGAAACATAATATAGCAACAATATTAGATGAAGGTGATAACAATGTACTCTACCAAAAATCACTGTGGAAACTAACACATTATTCTACATTAAATATCATGTTCCATCGGTAGGACTGCTCAAATAGAAAACAGACTATTATAATTAAAAAACATGTTCCATCATTAACTGAACCTTCAGTCACAGAAAGGGCACAAAGGTTCACCCAAAAACAATGGATACTATATCCCTGAAGCTATAGAGAGGACTGCTCACATAGACAACAGACCACTGAATGTTTCATCAGGTTCTTTCTGACATGACACTTTTAATAACTAAGTAGCCTCTATATATTACCTTTAAGAAAATATGTGCAAATTAAAAACACAATAATTATACTAACATTTTAAAACACTAATAGATGAACATGAAAGCAGTGTCCTTACCACAAAATACTGCAGTAACAAACACAAACTATTATAATTAAAAAACATGTTCCATCATTAACTGAACCTTCAGTCACAGAAAGGGTTCACAGGTTCACCCAAAAACAATGGATACTATATCCCTGAAGCTATAGAGAGGACTGCTCACATAGACAACAGACCCCTGAATGTTTCATCAGGTTTTTCCTGACTTGTTACTTTTAATAACTAAGTAACCTCTATATGTTACCTTTAAGAAAATAAGAGCATGTTATAAAACAATAATTTTACTAACATTTTAAAACACCATTAGATGAACATGATAGCAGTGTCCTTACCACAAAATACTGCAGTAAGTAACTCCAACTATTATAAGTAAAAATCATCTTCCATCATTTACTGAACCTTCAGTCACAGAAAGGGTACACAGGTTCACCCAAAAACAATGGATACTATATCCCTGAAGCTATAGGGAGGACTGCTCACATAGACAACAGACCCCTGAATGTTTCATCAGGTTTTTCCTGACTTGTTACTTTTAATAACTAAGTAACCTCTATACGTTACCTTTAAAAAAATAAGAGCATATTATAAAACAATAATTTTACTAACATTTTAAAACACCATTAGATGAACGTGATAGCAGTGTCCTTACCACAAAATACTGCAGTAAAAAACTCAAACTATTACAAGTAAAAATCATCTTCCATCATTTACTGAACCCTTCAGTCACAGACACGGTACACAGGTTCACCCAAAAACAATGGATACTATATCCCTGAAGGTATCGAGAGGACTGCTCACATAGACAACTGAACCCTGCATTTTTCATCAGGTTTTTCCTAACTTGTTACATTAAATAACCAAGTACCCCTTAGATGTCATTTTTAAGAAAATAAGAGATTATTGAAAAACACAGTCAATTTTACAAATATTTTAAAGTGACGAGGTTAACAAGGCAACTAGCCCACTAGATAAATGGTAATAATACATATAACAAAACAAGACCACCACCAACAAGCCTAGCATGAATCAAATTCATTATGCAACAAATGCACTGTGTTCCATCATTTACTGAACCTTCAGTCACAAATAAAGAACAGAGGTTCACCCAATAACAATGGTCATTATATCCCTGAAGTTTACGAGAGGCCTGCTCACATAGACAACATGCCCCTGCTTTTTTCATCAGGTTAATTGGACTTCGTTTTTTTAAGGAGAGACGTCAACAAGGAAACCAACATTACCAGCCGGATCACAAGTGTCATGCAATAAAAAATGCAATATTTTCCATCATTTACTGAACCTTCAGTCACAAAAATACAGAGGCTCACCCAAAAACAATGTTAACGATGTCCCTGAAGCTAACGAGAGACATGCTTACACAGGAAAAACATGCCCCTGCTTTTTTCATCAGGATTTATAAGCTTAAATCTTTGTTTTCATTAATCAACAAATCCATAGTTGAGTTAAGAAGATAAAGGGTACACCAAAATAAATTTAAAACACTGATCTAAGTCGACACGCAATTGGTCCACGGATGAATTCGCTAATCAAATGAAAAACTACTTATCAAATTCCGAAAAATAATACGTTACCTTGAAATGAACCCTAAGGTCGGCGCCTCTAGCCTTGCAAGCTGCATATGAAAAACGATGAAATAATCAGAATGATACCTTAAACGCAGTCGTTTCAGAAGCGAACAAACTGAGAGTGAATTCTACGATAGCCACAAAAGTAGTGAACACTAATGGAACTTACACTTGGTGGGATTGTCAGGTTCCCTTGAATACTTCACCTGCGAAACAAAAATTCAAACCATGATACCAATGATAATGATATGAAAACAAATCAGAGATCTGATACGAAGCAAACGAAGAGTGTAGAAGCAGAAATATAAGAGTTCATACCATTGCGGCTTAATTGGGCACCTTCAACAAACAATGGCTCTCGGCAACTATGGAACAAGGGTTCGCGGAGTTTATATAGCAGGGTTTAAAACCCTAGCCTCACAGAGTTCAGTCATATGGAACAAGCTGGGGCGATAAGGCCCAACTTGTATTCTGGCCCATGATCCAATTCATCTCTACCGGTGAGCCGTAAAAAATATTTTATTGGGCTCAACAGAAAAAAAATTAGTCTAAGGGGCTGCTATTGCGAACCCTTTTTTTACTTTTCGCACTACCTGCTACTAACTGGTAACAAGTTCAAATTCAAGTTTAGAAGAGGATAATTTTGTATTTTTACACTTTATCTCATCTCAGATTTTATTAGGTTCAGATGAATTTGCAGGAAATTTGGCACATTTTTTTATAATTTAAATTTATAAATAATAATTAAACTGTATTTTTACCTAAATATATAATTCAAGTTTGTTATTAGTTATTATTATAACCGGTAGAAATAAAGACACTATGTACCTACTTGAAAAAATAAAGAAAATAATTTTTTATGTCAATTTTTATTGTTTTAAATAAAAATTCTTTGATGTTTAGTTTTTATTGTTCTCAACAAGACAAACTCTTAATGAAGTAATTCATTTTTTTAGAAAATTAAAATACTTTACTATAAAATGTGTTGTTTGGATAAGTTATTTTTAAATAATTTTTAATTTTCTCATTTTTATGGAGTTTTTCAATTAACTCGGATAATGGAATTTGAAATTCCAACTTAAAGTGAGAAAATTAAAATTACCCTCTTTTACTCATGTGGAGCACTCAATCTTTTCCTCATTGGCAACCTTTATTTGGGTCGAAACTCGACTCTCTTGCTTTCTCTTGGTTTGCAACCATAATCTTTTTCATGATCCAAGCTCTCATGCAATTCTCACTTACTCTCTTGCGTTTCACACTATGACTTCGCCTTAGGTTTGTTTCTTTTCTCTTTTAAATTCAGGGTTTCATTTGATTTCTTATTGAATTTGTTATCGATGTAGGGTTTTGTTTTCAATTTCCATGATTGATTTTATGTATGATTTCATTCACTTTATTTTAATTAGCTTTTTGCCTTATAATTCGAAAGATTAGAGTTATATTATTGATAATTATAATTTATGGGTGACAAATTTCTTCTTGTTTTTTGCTTTAGGATTCACCTGAAATCTGAAAGAAAAAAATTAATAACAATCTCCTTGACATTGTCTCCTTAACTTGGAATTTATATATAAATAAATAAAAATCGCAAGTTTTAGTTAGTCTTACATGTATGTTAGAAAAATACTCATTAAATGAAACTCACAAAAATGTGATTGATAATAATTTTTCAACCAAAAATAAAGATTATAGATTTTCGGTAGTTTTCTTTTTGTTTGGAATTATGGGATTGTGCTACTTCTACGCCCATAGTTTCACATAGGCAATAAGTGTAGAAGAAAATTGAGTGATTGTTCTTTGCTTGAAAGACTATCTTAAGGGAAATATAGGTTATTTGTGTGGTAGATGACTTTCTAGTTAACATGGGAACCACCAACTCTTTAATCATTAACTTTTGAAGTTTTAAATCTCATTTACAACTACACCAATCTCTTTGGGAAGGGTCTTTACACCCACCGAAAGATTCTGAAAAAGAAAGAAGAAGTTCTAACTCCAAAACTCTCTTTAACTTTTTTCTAATTTTTTTGAATAAATAAATTAATAAAATTCACTTTTTCAAAAATATGTTAGACACCTTTCTCCTAACAGTCTAACTTGACATTTGTTAACAACAAAACTCATTAAGATTTATAAATTCTTAGAGGTTAAGGATAACTAATCAACTTATCATAACAACATTTAAACTAATAAAATTAATAATATTAATAAAATTGCACAGTATTAACAATTTTCTTGAACAAAAAAAATTTTCATTCCAAAAATTGACTTAATTAGGAAGAAAAACAAATATTAATCTCTTATCTTGTTTTTCAGTTCCCATGTAGTTTCGTTAGTGGTCACATTTCAGACAACATACAAAATATTGATGAACTTACCCTTCAACTCTTTTCCTTTATAATCCAAAATTGCAATTGATTGTTTTCCATAAGTCAGGTTCTTCTTCACCATTTTTTAAAAAATATTTAGTTTCAAAAAATATTTTTTTATTTTTATTTTCTGTTTTCATTTTCTAAAAGTAAAAATATTGAAACTATGTTTGATTTAATTATTTTTAATAAAAAATTCAAATTCTTTTTCATAAAGTTTACAAACAAATTTTAAATGATAACAATATAAGCACGTACTCATTAATGAGCATTTTATGAATAAATAAATTTATAATATTTCTTATACATTAAATATGAATAATTAAAGATGATCGCTTCACATCTTCTTTCTATTATTCTCGGTATAATACATTTAAGAAGTTTAATAAAAGACATAAAAATCTCTGGACTAAAAAATTATGTTCACTGTCATCGCATTTTCGAACATTGTTGCCATTTTATAAAAAGTCTACAAAGAACATTATTTTATTTTCAAATTTTGACTCTTTTTACAAATATTTTTCTGTAAAATTATTTTCAGAAAGTGAAACAACTATGTTTATACGTTTTAATTTTATTTTCTATTTTCATTAAAAAAGGAAATAGAAAACGTGCAAACCAAACTGCGACTTATATATATTTATGCCTCTCCTCTCATCGTTGGCTTGGTATCAGATCTCCGATCTGTTTTCACTTTTCACAGCATTGTTATTAGTATCCTTGTGTGAATCCCACCAAATGTAAGTTCCATTAGTGTCCACTGTTTTTCATTTTATTCGCCTCTGAAACGACTGCGTTTAAGGTCTCAATCTGATTATTTCATCCTTTTTCATATGCAGCTTGCAAGGCTAGAGGCGCCGACTTTAGGGTTCATTTCAAGGTAACGATTCCTGTTTCTTTGAATTTGGTTATTCTCTTTATTATTTTTCGGAATTTGATAAATAGTTCTTCATTCGATTAGCAAATTCATCCGTGAACCAATCGCGTGTCAACTTAGATGATCAGTGTTTTGAATGGTGTGCACTTTATCTTGTTGACTCAACTATGGATTCGTTGATTGATGAAAATCGAAAGCATAGATTTAAGCTTATAAATCCTGATGAAAAAGCAGTGGCCTGTTTTATTAATTTTGATAAATGAGTTTGTTTATTTCTTATATAAATTCCTTCATTTGCGTCACTTGGTGAATACAGAAACGCATAAGCTCAGTGTGGAAGAAACGCATCTTGGTGTGCCTGGCATACATTACATGGACAGGCAACTGAATGATCGCAGAGCCAAGAACGCAATTGGCAACAGCAGCAGAAGATAACATTACTAACGTGAGGGTCTGGAAAATATTTGAAAAAAAGGAAGAAGAACGTAGCATAGGCTCCATGTATGGGAAAGTGGTTCTCTCATTCATATTCGTGTTCCTTCTCGTCCTCTCCTACTCAATTTTCATAGGCTCTCTCGACATTCGGTCTTATTTCTTCCCGCGCTTAAAGTCACTCACGGGTGCACTCGCTCCCTGTGCACCCGACCCGCCTCTCCGCGTCTACATGTACGATCTCCCTCGCCGCTTCAACGTCGCCATGATTGACCGCCGCAACACGACGGAGAACCCCGTCACCGTCCGGGACTGGCCGCCCTGGCCCCAGAACTGGGGCCTCAAGAAGCAGCACAGCGTCGAGTTCTGGATGATGGGATCGCTCCTCCACGACGACGGGGACACCAGAGAGGCAATTAGGGTTTCGGATCCGGAACTCGCTGACGCCTTCTTCGTCCCGTTCTTCTCTTCGCTCAGCTTCAACACGCACGGCCACACCATGAAGGATCCGGAAACGCAGATTGATCGCCAGTTGCAGGTACCTTCCTTCGAGTTCATTTGAATGCAATGCTCTGCGAGCTAATGTCAGCTAGATTTTTGTGTATGTTATATGTTGAAGACATTGAAGACATATTCACCAGTGCTATAGCCAAAATATAGTATATAAGTGGGGGAGTATTCACCTTACTTGTTGGTTTAGGAAAAATAAGTCTGACTTATAACTCACTTTTTTAAAATAGTAGCACTTGATGAGTCTATTAGGCCGTCTGCCGTCAGACCATTGACAGATGTCTAGTCCCATTCTCAACAGTAGAGGAGATGTGTTAGAGATCCCACAATTCTCACCTTACAAGTCGTTTTTGTAGGATTAAGTTAAATTTATAAACTAGTTTGTTGAGATTATATAGCGTCTTGCCATGCTTGCATTGTAATTTTTTTTCTGAAATGTAGGGTGTTGTATATACTAAGTAGATGAACCTGTATCTTTGCATCATAGCTATTGTTTTTCAAATATCTGTTTGTTAATGTTAAACAGGGCTTGTTTCTGGTGTCAGGTTGATTTAATGGAATTCTTGAGGAAATCCAAGTACTGGCAGAGGTCTGGAGGTAGAGATCATGTATTTCCCCTGACGCACCCCAATGCCTTTAGGTTCCTACGAGATCAATTAAATGAGTCTATTCAGGTTGTTGTGGATTTTGGCCGCTATCCTAGGGGCATGTCTAATTTGAACAAAGATGTGGTGTCACCTTATGTGCATGTTGTGGACTCTTTTACGGATGATGAGCCTCAAGATCCGTACGAGTCCCGCTCCACGCTGCTTTTCTTCCGAGGGAGGACTTATAGGAAGGATGTATGTCTAACTGCGAGTTATAATGTGTTTCTTAATAGGACAAGATTCCTTTAAAGTGAGTTTGTCTTTAAAGTGAGCAAGTAAGGCCATATACAGATCCTTGTTCACTTTAAGAACAATATCACTTTGGAGGAGTTTTTTCCTTTTTTAAACTCCATGAAAATTGATTTTGTGGTGTCTTTGATGCTTGCAGGAAGGGATTGTCCGTGTTAAACTAGCAAAGATATTGGCTGGTTATGACGATGTTCATTATGAGCGAAGTGTTGCTACAGAAGAAAACATAAAACTGGTATGCAGTATAGTTATGTAATTAATCTTTGCTTACCTGTAGTTGGACTGTTTTTGGTTGGCCGTTTATAAGATTTGATTTTACAATTATTTTTCTTCTTCATTGTAACTCAAAGGCTAGGATTTCTGTTTAAAAGCAAAAGATATTTAGATAACTTTTCAACAAGAACTGACCATGTGCTTTACTTCGCTACATAATGTATTCCCCGTGCATTCTGACCGGGAATTTGAATGTTGAGATACAATTTTCTTTTCGTGGAGAAAATGAATTGTTTGCGAGGAGCCTTCCTCCCCCCTCCCTCAATTTAGTAAATCTTGCATTGGTGAAAGAATACTAGTTTTATATTTTTCTCTTTCTCTCTCAAAACATTCATATGATACCCTGAATCAAAAACATGCTTCATTTTGAGGGTGCAGAGACTTTGAAACTTTCTTTGCAATATAACCAAGATGGGTTACTATCTTTGTTAGGGGAGAGGAATTATTGTCATTTTTTGTTTATGTTCCGCCTTTCTTATCATGCTAAAATAATTAACCAGTGTTCCTTTATCCCCTGTTTCTGATACAACAGTCATCTAAAGGGATGCGTTCATCGAAGTTCTGTTTGCATCCAGCAGGAGACACACCATCATCTTGTCGTCTTTTTGATGCTATTGTGAGTCACTGTGTTCCTGTCATTGTCAGTGATCAAATTGAACTCCCATTTGAGGATGAGATTGACTACTCTCAGTTCTCGGTTTTCTTCTCTTTCAAAGAGGCATTACAGCCTGGCTACATGATTGATCAACTTCATAAATTTCCAAAGGAGAAATGGACTGAAATGTGGAGGCAGCTCAAAAACATTTCCCATCATTATGAATTCCAGTATCCTCCAAAGAGAGAGGATGCTGTTGACATGCTGTGGAGACAGGTCAAGCACAAGCTTCCAGGGGTCAGACTTTCTGTTCATAGAAGCCGGAGGTTAAAAATCCCAGATTGGTGGCGGAGGAGATGATTTTTGGAACTTTCATGTTGATCTTGTACATTCTTCAGTTACAGCAACAATCCATGAAAAGGAGGAATATTTCATTCGCCCTCTTACCTCAGCTTTCTAAAATCGAGATTTTTGTGTAAGTTCTAATCTGTGATTTGTTTTGGTCTTGGCCACTTCCTAATATGCAATTTTTGATATCTTTTGGGGCATTTCGATTGTATATGGACTTTCTAGTTGTGCAACCGAAGATGTGCTCTCAGGATGGGGAGAAAGATATGAGAGAAAGGGATTTTGATTTTATTTATTTTCTCAAAAGCTTAGGTAATGGAAGAAATGAAAAAAGGAAATGGAGAGGAGCCTTTCCCCTTAATTTGTACTTCTCCATTCATGTTAAAGAACTCAAGTCAATTTTAAAATTCATTTGAATTGATTCACTTTTATGATATGGCTGCTAAAACTTCGAAGGTGTCGAAGTTAAATTTTTTGTTCATTTTCCACGCGACGCTGGTTGGTTGTAAACTTTTTTTTCTTCAGTTAGATGCAATTCGAAGCAGGTAAAAGGGAATGAAAGAAAACAGATACAGATAATTTTTTTTTTACCATTTTTAGATAAATTTTTCAATAATTATTAGATATTAAAATTTTACCCTTAACGGGGGGTAATGGAAGTTGTGGGTGGAAAACACATATAAATGAAGGCTTTTTGACTTCACTAAATTAAAAAAAATTAAAAATACATAAAATAAATTATAAAAAAAAACTATTTACTGAAATAGGTGATTTTAGACACGTAAGAGTACACGTGGCATGGAAAATGCATGGGTGTGGGCGTTTTTTATAAAAAACCTCCCCCCAGGCGCCTTTAGTTGCTGATGTGACAGCTGTTATACTTTGAGAAGAAAGAGCAGGGGAGACAAACGTTTTTTAGAAAGAGTCTTCCCCTGGACGCCTTCTATTTATGGCAAGTTTGAAAAGAAAGAACATGGGGAGTAGGCGTCATCTATTGCAATGCGCCTCCCCCCGGTCCCCGGAACTAAATTTTAAACAATTTAAAATATGTAATAATTAAATAAATTTTTTTTATTAATATTTTAAAAAATTAAGTTAATTTTTAATTTAATAAATAAAAATGTAATAAGTTATAATGTTAATAAATAACAATTTTAATAAGTTATATTTATAATAAATTAGAAACGTAATAAATAATAATTATAATAAGTTATATTTATATGTATATGTTTAAAAATATTAATAATATATACAATTAAAATATCTTTATAATTACTAAGTTTAATAAATTAGTATGTATTAAATATATTAATTATATTTACAATGGAATAATTATTAATTAATTAATTATTAATTGAAAATTTATAAATTTAATAAGTTAGTATGTATTATAAATAAATGTGCTTAAAAATATTAATAATATTTACGAATTAAATATATTTTTATTAACTAATTTGAATAAATATTATTTGTATGTATAACTTAAATATTAGAAGAGAAAAATATATAAGTTTAAATTAAGTTTAATAATTTTTAAAATTAATAACATAGAAAATTTGTTAATTAAATTATTAATCATAATAAGTTTAATATTATTAAATATAAATGATTATGAATTGTTGTTAAAAAAATAAGAATAAAAATACAAAAATAGATAAAAGTTATTCCATTGTAAATATAATTAATATATTTAATACATACTAATTTATTAAACTTAGTAATTATAAAGATATTTTAATTGTATATATTATTAATATTTTTAAACATATACATATAAATATAACTTATTATAATTATTATTTATTACGTTTCTAATTTATTATAAATATAACTTATTAAAATTGTTATTTATTAACATTATAACTTATTACATTTTTATTTATTAAATTAAAAATTAACTTAATTTTTTAAAATATTAATAAAAAAAATTTATTTAATTATTACATATTTTAAATTGTTTAAAATTTAGTTCCGGGGACCGGGGGGAGGCGCATTGCAACAGATGGCGCCTACCCCCCATGCTCTTTCTTTTCAAACTTGTCATAAATAGAAGGCGCCCAGGGGGGAGGCTCTTTCTAAAAAACGTCTGCCCCCTGCTTCTTCTTCTCAAAGTGTAGCAGTTGCCGCATCAGCAACTAAAGGCGTCTGAGGGGAGGCTTTTTATAAAAAACGCCCACCCTCCATGTGTTTTCCATGCCACGTGTACTCTTATGTATCCAAAATCACATATTTTAGTAAATAGTTTTTTTTTTTAATTTATTTCATGTATTTTTAATTTTTTTTAATTTAGTGGGGTCAAAAAACCTCTAAATGAAAGTCATAAATCTTAGCACAACTTATTTATATATTAATTGTCTTTTTACAAAGTCGTAATTACATATACGACCTCTTTCAATTTTTAATTAAACTCATTAAATAATATACCGCATGTTTTTATTTGTTTAATTTAAGTGGTAATAGTAAATACAATGTTACATTTTTTTTTTATTGTTTTTAATTGAAATCATAAAAGTGAATATGCCTTTTATTTTATTTATTACTTCAGTTTTTATGCAAGTCGTACATTGAGGTATGATTTTAAGGATGATTGATCATATTGAATTATTGATACCGTTTAGAAACAAATGAGGCAGTCAACGTTGAAAAAACGCAAGTTAATTTTGTGTTTTTTTTATATCACGTATATTTTGCTGTTTTATTTTATTCAACTTCAAGATGTATGAGTTTTTGGAAATTCAAAATCCTTAAAAATTCATTATAATAAATAAAATTAAAAATATCAACATACAAATTTTATCTATTTATTTTTATCAAAATAACTATGTAACTATGTTTTTTTCATTACATTTAGAGATATGTACAAACAAGATACAAATTTTGTCACGATAAAAAATAAAAAATATTAACTTTTTTTTTATATAATAATAAAAAAAATTAGTCTTCGTCAAAATAAAACAAGTTTTCCTTTATCATAATTAATTTTTAATAATTTCAAAATAAGATGATGATGATGTTGATGTTTTAGATGCTATCATGAAATAATATAATTGTGTATGAGTTGTTTGACCGACAATTTAAGATGTATAATTTATATTTATAGGATCATTATATCTATATTATATATATTTAAAATAATTATTTGTTTTTATATGCAGATTATATAATACATATTTTCATATTTATAAATATATAATTTTAAATTAGTAATTTTTTCGTTATTAGTTATTTATAATGTAAAGATTATGACTAACTAACTGTTACATACTTTTAAATCCAAAATTTGATTTTGAAGATCTTTTTCTTTTAAAAAAATTCCAATTTCTAAATTAATTTTATGTCCGCCGCAATTCCGTAGCGACACCAACCTTTCATAGTTTGAAATTGTTAATAAAATATTTTATATTATATCTAATAAAAAATATTAAAAATTATAAAATCGTGAATCTCACCTTTAATATGATAAGCTCTATTTATAATTTTATAAATTTTAACTGGTAAATCGCTGTCAATTCATAGAAAAACATTGTGTGGTCCAGTGTCACATCCTCTGCGGTTAAAAGTCTCTACAGCCAATATCGTGCAAAATCTGAATCATCGATTGGTTACAACAAAGTAGTTAAAGAAGATAGAGGATGTAATGAACGACTGAGATTTGTGCGGTAGCACAATTCTTGCTCCAGAGAATCTGAGATCTATAATGATTGCTTCCCTAAATTGGAAACATTACCTATCGCTATCCACAAACACTCTTCAATTCGCTCTCTGCGTTGACCATGGAGAACTTATCAGTACAGAAGAACATCCTCAAAACTCCAGCTCTTCTTAAGGTAATTCAATTTACCCAATTGCTTCATCTATGAATATTCTTCAAATTGATTTATCAAAATTGTATAAGAGCATTTTTCATTAATCATTTATCAATCTAGCTTCATAGAATTTGCAAATTTTCATCTCGATTCTGAAAATCCAATTACTTGCAAGCTCGTGTGATCATCTTAAGATGTTGTACTTCCCCATAATTTACATACTAACTTTAATTTTCTGCATATTTTTGTAACCAGTACATCTTTGAAACGAGTGGCTATCCCAAAGAGCACGAGCAATTGAAGCAACTCCGAGAAACAACAGTGCAGAAATACGGGAATAAGTTATAGTCACTCACAATATACATATTTGCATATGCGAAAGAGGAGGGATCCTTTTATTCCGGGAATAAGTCTACTTAGAATTACTTCGTTCAATAATTCATGTTTTACATCAAATTTCAACGATCTAACCGTTCAATTTAAAGTTTTTAATACATAGATCAAATCTGCAAATTTTTAAAAGATTTAAAAATTATTTGGCAGAGTATTCTAGCGAAATATGGAAGAAATTCCAAAATTAAGCCTTCTAGATAATTAGTCATAAATCTATATTGTTGAAAGTTATGAATAATATTAAAGACTTCATTGATATCAAATTCAATAAAAAAGAAAATAGGTGTAGAGTATGAATATTGATACAAGAAAAATTTTATAATAACATAATGTTCATGCTGATGAAACCAAACATCTCCATCTAAGAAAAATATAATCATTTAAAGCTTGTAAAACTTACAAAGATGTAGAATGGCGAAACTTTGAAAGAGGATTTTTATTTCTGAACTCTATTTCACTCTGATTACAATGGAGGAAAACTCCTCCTTTTATAGAAAACTTAGACAAACTAATTTACAACTAGGGGTAGTGACTCACTACCTTTTATAAGGGCAAACTAGTAAAGATAAAATAGTACAATAATTTACAAAGTGACAACTTCAGGAGATAAGGTATCGCCAAAAGTTGTTTGTCTTTTTGCACAGCTGGTAAACTTATCTTGATTATGCGTTGTCATTTTTAATAGTGCTGTCTTTTCTTGTCGTCTTGAAGTGACCTTTTGCTTTTGTCTTGAAGGTATTGATATTATTTTGTTTTTAGTAATAAATATATCTTTGTTGCGGAGATATGGGTTGGTTGAAACGGATTCCGAAGATCCCGTTTCTTCTTGAGCTTCTTCATCTGGGAGTGCTTGTATCAGTCGAAGTCTTTCTTCAAATTCTTCTTGTGAGGTTGCCGAGGCTAATTCAGCCATAATTTTGGATTTATTGGCTAAAAACTGATTTTCTTCACCAGATTTCTTGTTGTTATTAAGGGTCTTGAACAATGGGGCAGTAACTTTTGTCCATTCATCAATTCTTTTAGAGCTTAATAAATTAAGGTCAAACTTTTTCCACCATTTAACCTTAATTCTTCTTGAAAGTATTCTTAATGGTAACTCATCATAAGGAGCTCGGAACAGTCCCATGATACAATCCAATTGATATTCTGAGAAGCTACATACGAGATGAGCTTAAAATTTGGTAAAAATGTTGTTTTATTTTTGAAGTACTCATAATTTTCAGAAACCTCAGTAG